ATGTACATGGTTATTTATGTGTGGTCCTCTTTTCAATGTTTTAAAATTTGCTTTTATTATTATTTTGAAATGGAGTCTTGCAACATGGTCCAGGCTTGCCACAGTACTCAGCAGCTCAAGATATACTCCTGCTTTAGCCTCCCAAATAGCTGGTAGTGACAGCACATATCACCATGCTTAGCTAGCATTCGTTACTTTATTGACACTTTCACCCAACAACTGTCTGAGCATCTGTTATGCCAGATACTGTCCTTGCCACTGGGGTAAGCAAAACAGATTAGTATTAAGTGCCAGGGGAACCCAATCCATTTACATTGAAGGGATACATAAACAAGACTAGACGGTGCTTGTGGCAGGAGAGACATTTTGGATAGCGTGATCTGCCTTGCTGAAGCAGTGCCAATAAACACACACTAAGTGAATGCAATCAGGAGTTCATCCATATGGGGAGTCATTGGAGATGCAAGGATATGGTGGTCACCATGTCTGCTCCTTAGATGTCCCCGGTCTCCGAGGATGAATTCTAGACTGTGAGATGGAATGGAAATTACTCTTAACGGTACAGGTGAAATGGTTGGTATCCCCAGGAAGAAGGCAGAGAGGGACCCTGAGAGAGGATATTTGGGCCTGAAGTTGAGTTTAGAGATGAAAGTGGGCTAGGAAATCCAGTAAATGGATTCATGATTATGTACATATAGACGTATATGTGTGTGCATAAGTATAGAGCCAGGGTCTATTAATACGTACAAGTGCACGTGCCTAAGTGGTCACTTTTAGAGAATGAGAAGTAAATTCATCATGCATGGAAAGAAATATCTATCTTTTATTTCCTATAAACTCTGAACCTAAGGATACACGAGTATTCTGACCAATAAGTGATAACATCAGAATTTTACTGTTTGCAACACTTAAGCCCAAGTGAATTAATGGACATGCTTAAAGTAAGAAAGGCTCTTACATCACAGAATCAGAGTGCCTCCTGTAACCCAATAAAGGGATGGTACTCAAGTCTGATCAAAGCCCCTGATCCACAGAGCAGAGGGATAAGATCATGTGTCATGCATGGGTGAGTCACAAAAACCATGACTTGCTGAAACTCTGCAGAGTAGGCCAACTGTTTTCCTTCAACAGATGTGTGGTTTAAAAAAGTGTGTGTGTGTGTGTCTGTCTGTCTGTCTGTCTGTATGTGTGCCGGAGCTTGCTTGCATGCTTGTTAGAATGACAAGATTCCAATACACCTTTTCATCTAGCAAGTACCTAGGTGCAGCTGATGCTGTTGGTTCTTGGCTTACACTTGAGTTCCAAACTCCTAGAGTGCCTATGCCTGCTTAGCATGTGTCTGTTTAGGGGGCACTTCAGGGCACTGCAGTCTTTACAAATCTGTGCTTGCAGAGATTTTACATCTTCACATTAAATACCCAGATAATAGACCTGCACACCAAACATAATTACCAGACTCTTCACTTCACAGATCTATGTATTATTTAGAACTTGGAATCTTTTCTTAGGGTTGAAAAGTCTCAGTAATAGTATTTCTAACATAACAATAATATAAATGAATTATTTTCTAAAAGAGAAAAGAAATCACAGTAGTGTACAAGTTTCTTGGCATTATAAATATTTCGACTCATGGCCTTCATCCAGTTTTCTTCCAACACTTTTGAAAGTGTGAAAAATTCTACTTCATGCCAGCATAAGTAGCATTCTTATTTTCTACAGAAATCTAAGCACTTTGAGTGCTCTGAAGTATGTTATCTTTTCAGCTTCCTTAATGAAAATAAAAGTGAGCATCACTGGGAAGTTTGCCTGGCCTTCTCAGGCCTGGAACTTGCTCCTGGTACTACTTTAAACCATTAGCTCCCAAGTGGATAGTCTGTCAGGGACTTTCCGTTCTTCTCATACCCTAAGTATTCTGCTCATCAAGACTGCATTTTGAGCTTTGACATCCTGGGGCCTTCTTTTATTTTTCTACTTTTCATGTGTTTGTGTGTTTGCACATGTGGAGGCACGCCTGTTTGTCTGTGTATACCGAGGTCTGAGATTTATATCAGGAGTTGTCCTCAGCTGCTCTTCCATTTTATTCTTTTGAGGCAAGGTCTCTCATTCAAACCCAGAGCTTGGCAATGTGGCTAGTCCTGCTAGCCCACTTGTTGTGGGGACCATCTGTTCTACTTTGGAAGCTGGCATTACAGACAGGTTGCCACATCAATCCAGCATTTATGTGTGTTCTGAACTGCAGCTCTCTTGCCTGCATGGCAGGCACTTTAACTGCTGAGCTATCTCCCTAGCCTCTATTGGTTGCATTTCTAACTAGAAATGCCTTTTCTGCTTGGCCTCCCTCTGTGAGGCATAACCAGAGCCTTCAGAATTGCAGTGACATCCCCTTTCATGTCCTAGAAGACTGTGCACATTTAACAGAGCACTAGTCTGTGTGATAATAGTAATTACTGCTTTTGAGCAGTGTGTGTGTGTGTGTGTGTGTGTGTGTGTGTGTGTGTGTACATGTAGGGATGTGCATTCAGATATGCAAGCATATGTATATAGAAGCCGGAGGTTGGTGTCAGGTGTCATCCTCAGTCACTGTCTACTGATTCTGATGCTCACTGATTCTGACAGCCTAGGTAGCCAATGAGCTTCAGGAATCTTCCTACCTCTGAGCCCCTAACACTGGGATGACAGGGTCATACCTCCATGCTCAGCTTTTTATGTGAGTTTAGGTTTGCATGGCAGACAGCTTACCGGCAGAGCCATCTCCCCAGCCCACTGATCACTTTTGTAAGTGCTTTACTTAGTCCTTTCAACCACCCAAAGAGGCAGGTGCTGATGTTACACTAAAACCTAGAGAGATTTGGCCACTTGGTGGAAGACTCTCAACTGAGTGGCTGGGGCAGGATCCCGAAAACATACCAGAAGATTCTGTGATAGGCTAAGAACATAGTTCAGATGTGTGCAGTTCTGAATCTAGATGTTGTAATCACACTCTATTTCGGTGTTTTGAGAGTCACAGCTGATACATCCTGGCTTCCTGAGACCCAACATCGGGGGTCCAGCCTTGATCAGGGTGTAGCCCAGATTGGGGGGTGAGGGCTGTACATGCTGTGTGTTTAGCACTGTGTTTGCCGATGACACCAGCCTTTGTGCTTTGCTTTCCTTGGTGGTTGTGGGGCGGTCCAGGGTGCCACCTTCCTGAGAAGCCAGGATGCTGCCTCCTGTGTTCTGTTCTAGACATCACACCTGACAGAACCATGATTTCACATCTTCCTGTTTTCATCCGGAAGTTCATTTCTCTTGTCTCCAACTTGGAAACATAGGATGTTTACAAACGGAAGGGAGTCTACCTGCTTTTCTCTGCCCATCTTGGGGCATTTTAAAAGCTAGCTAAGGGAGCGTGGCACTTCCATGGAGCTGATTTATCAGAAACAAGCTACAAATACTGGGGAGTCACTTCCCCACCCCATTAAACAGAAGCAGAGCCTTCTTCTCTGTCCCTGGACTTCGGCTCGGTCCTGCTATGTCCCACCCCCAAGCCAGGGTCACACGTCTGTGACCCACCCCAGCTGGGAAGGAGAGAATAAGGCTTTAGGGAATGTGACCTGAGCAGTCAGCTTAGGCGAAATGTGCACAATAAACTTTCTTCTGGACTGAATTGTTCTGTAAAGCTGCAGTTACTTCCCAGGCAGTCAGGCTCTGGAGGACCGGCCATTCTGCCTGCACTAATCACTGTTGCTATGGAGAAAGCCACCATTTCATTAGAGAAAGCGCCATAATGCAATTAACACAGACTTCAGTTCCTTTCCATCCCTTTCGGGTCCAGGGATGTGGCGTTCTGGGGTGTTGCTTTCCCTGGAGCCCCTCTGGGACAGCAGGCTAGATAGGGCAGGAGGGGTCCCAGGATGCAAGCTGGGGATCAGCACTAAGATAGGCTGAAGGATGGCAAGTGGAGGAGTGAACAGGGAGCACGGTGGGGGATGGAGGCCTCCAAACAAAGCAAAACACAATACAGAGGGACCTCTGCCTGTTGGGACTTGGGTTCGGAAGTATGATAAAATTCTCTTCCACCCTCTCATGAAATCAGTATTTCTAGTAACCCAGTAGCCCGACTGAGTGTAGACAGGACCCACCAGACACCTCTGGGATCCCCTGAGCTTGCTTGTTCCTGTCTTGGACTGTTTCAAACCCCATCACAAGTTCATTTGCAAACCCAGGAAGATAGTATTTTCTCCTTAACCGGGTCATCCTAACACTCGTCCCCAGGGTGCCTGCCTGGCTAGAAAAAAAGAAATGCTAATGAAATGATGAGTTTTGATGGTTATGAAAGGAGGGTCTGAGGACAAGTTTTCGAAAGTTTCTGAGTTCTGGGCATTTCCCAGGAGGGGGCTGGAGCTTCTTGTTTCCCGCGTTTCTCTGACTGTGTGGTGGAAAAACTCAGGCAATAATCCAACTCTCAATTAGCAGGGTATTTTAAAAATTGAAGAAAAAGAAGCTATACTTACGCCCCCTCCCCCTTTAAAGAATCCTTCTAGAAAGAGAGGGCAACAGAAAAGTTGGCCGACAAAATGACCAAGCAACGCCTGCATCATCTCTAATTAGCTAATGTATTTCTTTCCGCCCTACTCTTGGGGGAATTCTCAGGCTAGTCCCCTGCCGCTCCTGGAGACAGCAGAAAAGCAAATGACACCAAATTTTCCCTTCTTAATTAAAATGTTAAATAGGGTTAAGATGCCAAGCCACATCGGAGTGTTTGTTCCCCTGGTGAACTCGGAGCCCTGCTGGGGTCAGTTCAATGGGAGTTCTTTGAATCCAACAGTTATTAAGTTCCCAAATGTAATCAACCCAGAGAGTTTAATGGAAACTTTCTCCTTTCTTTTAATAAGCATGTGAAAAAAAAAAAAAGGCACCCAGGTTAGGTGCATTGCCCTTCTATAACCAAATCACTATGGCAACAGGCAGCTGGTCTCTAGAAAGCCTGGTGATGCAGGGAGGGGCCACCCGCAGGAGCCCAGCTCCCCAGCCCGGTCCCCCAGGTCAGGCATAAATCTCTTCAATGGGATTAGATTGTTTAAGGGGCTATGGGCTGTGGGAAGACCTTTGTCTGCTGTATTCATCGTCTCTGCTGCGAGTCTCAACATTTCCACAATGGGGTTAAAAGTAAGAGCAAATGTTTTGATGGGTTTATTTTGAATTATGAATACATGGGGCTGCATAATCGCCTGTCACCATGGCCCTGCCCTTGGCTGGGCCCTCTGAGGACCAGAGGGTGGCTGATGGAGAGAGCAGTGAGAGTCAACACTGGGAAGTGGCTTCAGCATAGAGAATGAATTACATGGGCTTGAGGGGACCGACATTCTGTATCCTAGAGACAGGTTGCATGCTCACAGCTCTGTTGTGGGGGTGGACATAGTTCCAGGGGCATGCCTTTCTCCTGTCCGGTTCGTCCTTAGAGGGGTGATCACTGCCCACTAGGTTATGTTTCTTTCTGGTCTGCGCCCTCTGAGAAGCCTGATAAGCTACTGTATTTGGGGCTCTGCTAAGTACTCCCTGTCATGAGATGATTTGTGTCCCCTCTCCCCCATCTCAATTTATATGTTCAAGTCTCAACCCCAGCACCTCGGAACCTTTCTGTAGTTGTAGTCAGGATCTGTAGAAGGAGATGAGCTTGTTGAAATGAAACCTTCTGGCTGAGACCTATCCAATGTGATGGATCTTTTTAGAGGAGGAAATTTAGGCATGCAGAGATACAAAGTGTGTGTGTGTGTGTGTGTGTGTGTGTGTGTGTGTGTGTGTGTGTGTTAAACACTGCAAGAATTCTTCAAGAAGCGCCAGGCCCTAAGCCCAGGAGAGAGGCCTCAGTAGAAACCAGTCCTGCTTATGCCTCCGTTTGAGTCTTCCAGCCTCCAGAACTGGAGACAATGTATGTCAGTTGTTTGAGTCCTGTGGCCTGTGACACTTGCCTTTGGCAGCCCTAGAACAAATGCTCTACTCTGCTGTCTTCCAGCTCTAGTGATGCTGGCAACCAGTGTCTAAGAAAGGGGCAAGAAAGGCTCTGAGAAGAAACACCGGCCTGACCACAGTCTACTCTTTTAACAAGGTTACAATCCTAAACTGAGGCTGTTGCTACTAAACCAAGGTTAGCGTGAACATCTCTCAGCCCATCCCAGGGGCCCATCCTGTCCATGTTACCACTTCCAGGTTATACATTGTTGGCATGTGTATTGGAGCCCATTCACTATAATCTGGTGGTTCCAGACTGTGTCCACTCCTCAGCATTATTAAGGGAAACAAATCCTTAAGGAGCAAAGTTGGCAGGTTGTGGGGGAATAGGGAGGCATGGATACTGGAGATGAGAATTGAATGAATTTTGTTAATTTTGTTTTGAAGTTGTAATGTCAGTTTGTCTGACATAATCTCAGAGAGAATCTAAAAGTCAAAGAGGAGACAGCCTTTACAGCCCAAAGCCTCTAAAGATTCTTGGTTTGGGAATCTGGGATCACAATATCTGAGCAGCTCCATGAACCAAGTCTGAGTGTCGTTTACCCATGTCCTTTCTCCTCCCCAGTCTCCACTTCATTCTTGTTCCCTTACCTTCCCTCTTGGAGGTCATAGGAAGCCCCAGTGACCCTCTGTCACCCACCAGGTACTATGATCTAAGGTGCAATTTTAGTTATGTCACTGCCCTATTCCAGAGCTATCAGCACCTGCTAAATGCAGAAGGACATGCCTCTGGGTCACTAACAAGACAGTCCCTGCCCCTAGGCCTTCAGGGACTCTGTGCTCAGGCCTACCTGGCTTTCCAATGTTCAATCATCTAAGGACTCTGTCCTTGACATGCCTGTCACTGGCACACCTTTGCCCTCTTCTTCATTCACCTGCCAGTCTCTCCATACCCTGGAATGACTCACCATGCTTGAAAAATAAAAGTCAAAAACACAGTCATGAGAAAGAACAAGAACCATGCAATGAGCATCACATGGATAAAAAGCAGCAACTCTCCTTGGCAAAGCAATCCTGAACAAAAGTCGCCAAACATTCTGAGTGGTCATTTCTAGGCACTGGGGTCATGTGTGTACTTACTTTTTCTTCTCTGCTTCTTCATGTCCCAGTTAGAAATATTTGTTTTTTTTTTGTTGGTGGTGGATTTTTTTATTCATATTTATCTATTTATTTGTTGACTTGTTTTGTGTGCATGTGTGCATGTGCATGCAGTTACCCACAGAGGCCAGAAGACGGCATCAGAGCCTTCAAAGCTGGAGTAGTCATGGTGATTTGAGCCACCTAACACGGATCCTGGGAACCAAGCTCCAATCTTCTGGAAGGGCAGCAAATGCTCTTCACTGTGAAGCCTTCTCTCCAGCCTCCACATTTTCCAAAAATTTATTACCAAAAATATTTTTTGTTTTAACAAGGGGAAGAAAAAAAACAGTCACTAAAAGGGGGCTTGAATAATAAAACTTTCATATGCTTCAAGACCTAACTCAGCCTGAGTTTCAGATGGTAGAGAAGGGGAGTGAACTTGTACCAAGTCAAACCAAGCTTAGGCCAAGCCTTTCCCTTTTCTTACCTTCAGCATTCATCAGGCCCTGCTGTGTGCTGTGATTATGTGGGTGGCCGATAACTCCCTGATTGCATGGAGGATTTAACAACAGCGATGCTGCCTCGCACAGCCCCTCTTCCCAGAAGTCGTCACCAACATGCACATGTGAAGCTGGAGTAGGTAATCGACCTCTATACAGAACACAGAATCTACCAGAAAAGCGCAGTGGTGATAAACTTCTGAAGTCATAGCTATCAGAAAAGTCAGGATTATAGCCCTGCTCCCGCCATAACCCGTTTACATCACACATATGAATTGGAGACCATAACTGTTAGTTCCGCAGACAGTAACACACACTACAAATAGATTGTCAAGGCTGTTGCCGCAGCCCCAGAAGCCATGACCAATAGTTCCCTCATTCACACACAAGTGTAAAGGCATAGGCATAAGTCTCAATTAGCAGCCAGATTGCTCTCAGATCTGAACTGAGAGTCTATGACAGAAGCACTACTAATGGCCAAGGCCTTCAAGTTGCCCCTGGCGTCTTGGGGGCTTTATCCATGATTCCCAAGTTACTGTTTCAGAAACTAGTGGTATAAATGAGTGGAATATATTCTGTGACTTTGGTCAGTAGTGGTGACATAGGCTGTTGCTGTGAGAGTTTCTTGTGGGGACCTGAACTTTGATAAAATTGGGATATTACAGACAATAGATGTGTGCATGTTTGACACCAGTCTCCCCGTGGTTTTGGAACTCTATATCCTTCTTAAGGAAGTCACATGCCCCAATGGGATGGCAGATGTGCCACCTAAGCTGAGAGGTGAGAGGGATTTCCATTGCTTTGGTTCTGGCTGAAATGTCCCACCACACCCTACCTGATCTCAGGCCTGCACCATCCTGAGACAGAATCTGCTGGGCCTGTGGATTGCCTCTGTTCCTTAAAAGATGTACTCAGGGCTAGGAATATAGCTCCACAGTAAAGCGTTTGCCTCCCACGCACAAAGCCCTAGGTTCAACTTAGTGCTTCCCACGAATGTACACACACACAGCATGCAGCATCTGCCAAACCAGGCCTCCATCTTTAACACCTGTGCCTTGACTGCTGTGGAGGGAAGGCAGGCTTAGATCCGGCTGAGGGTGAAAAAAACCTAAAGTAACAAGCGCTTTTATGTGGATTTATTTCCTTCTTCTGTAATTGTCTAAGAACAGGCAGTCTGCATTGAAACGACAGCTTCGTGATGTTCTTCTCCTCTTCTGCCAGTTTTAACTTGTACCTCAAAGTACAGAATAGTTGCCCAGTCTGCACCCATCACACTTACCTCTTAATCAGTAGAAAGCAAGAGAAAAGGAAAACTCCTTTATATCCTACTGGGGAGAAGTTAGTTTGCACGCTTTACCTGCTTGCAAAGGTACCTGAGAGATGTAGTTTCTGTTTGGAGTAACTGTGTCCCACTGAAAACAAAACAAAACAAAACAAAACAGAAGTGCTGTTTGGTGGGGGTTGGGGTCAGAGGGGTGGGTGGGTGGTAGGTGGAGGTATTCATGGTGTTCCTGGGAACTGAACCCAAGAGAGCCCTGTTGATGTTGGGCAAGCTTTTCATCTCTGAACCATATTTGGAGCCCTGAAAGTGTTGTTTATAAGAGGAGCTAATAGGTAGTCTGAAGACCTATTTCGAAGGAGAGAAATATTTTGAGACTTATCTGAGAAGTAGAGACACACAGGGGAACTTTAATTAAAATACCAGCCATATTAGAGTTCATTTCATGGGAGCTGGACGTCCACAATAAACTAGGCAGAGTGGTGACCCTCTCTAGACTCTGCTATCTAGGAAACTGAGCAAGAAGGCTCACCTAAGGCCAGGAATTGGAGGCTAACTGGGCAACGTAGCAAGCCCGTTTCAAAAGCATAAAAACAAAAAAGGGCTAGGTTAACTCAGGGTATGGCTGAGTGGTACCTATAGCCGCTCCCAAACTATGACTCACCCAGGGGAAAGGACCAGGGATTGTAAGCATCTTCAGCCCTCTGCCCTCCTCTCTCTTCCCCAGATCTTCCTAAGGGAAGAACAGAGAAAAGCAGTCACATGGCCAGGCTGCTTCCAGGCACTGGGGCCAATGTTCCTTCCACCCCTGCACCGTGGGCTGCTGAGGGCCCAAGAGAATCTAGATTCCTTGGTTATGCAGTGAGCAGTGTGGTGATGTTCCAGAACGAGTTCCCTAGGTGAGAAAGAGGGGCTGCAGCAGAGTGGGTTCCCTAGGTGACAGACAGTGGAGTTGCAGCAGCGCAAGTTCCCTTAAGAGGCCCTGTCTCAGTGTCTCCTAGCACAAACAAAAACAAAGTAATCCTTACCCATCCCCTGGTCAAGCTTGCCACACAGTTCTGAATAGGAAAAAAAAGTGAAAGTTTTGATTTAAAAAAAATTGTAAAAAATCATGGATTAAAAGAAGGATTCTTAAGACTTGCTAATGTTAGGCCAGCAGAGAACTTCAATTCCCAGGCTCTAAAAATCTAGAAGCCTCTGGGCCAGCTTGGGATCTGACCTTTAACCTCTTTCCTATCCTTGTAGATAATGCTGGACTCTCCAGTGCCTTTATTCCTGTGAGGAAGGTCCCCAGCACAGGACAGAGAATGGTCACACTCACCCAGTGCCCTCTAGGTACTTGAAATGACACCTGTGAGGCTGGCATGGCCATGCCTCCCCTTTTTTTCCTCAGGAAACTGAGCAGGAGGATTTGCACTCCTGGGAGGTTGCACTACCAGGGCGTTTGTCTTTGTTTCCTTGTCATGGAATTCAGTGAGTTTTACACTTCTATTGAAGACAATGTGCAACCGTCCCTAGGGGACTTTGGCTTCCCTTACTTCTAGTCATTGATGATCAGAGAGCAAGGTGTCTGTCACCAAGAACAACACCTAGATCTATCTCACTTGCTGCCTGGTAGCTGCTGAATGGAACATGGATATGACAGTCAATTAAGACAAGAGTCAGGCAGCTTCTATCAGAGTTGAGACTGTTGTGCAGTGGTGCCAAATCTCTCCTCCACCCAGACCCTGCCCTTGGCCAGAGAGCAAGAGTGCCCAAAACAGCACCCAACCTTTGATAGATAACAGGACTGTCTCCATACTGGGAGCCCCATGATCACATCCTCTTTTTCCTCTGGGCAATGACAAAATAACCAAGAGCTGAGACAGATGACAGCACCTAGTGCTAATATGCCTGGTAAATGAGGGCTCAGTGTCTGAGTCAGGAGGAAGGATCCTCTCCCACCTCCTGGGGCATCTTGCCGTGCCTGGCAGCCTGGCTTGACCATTCTATACGGCAAGTTGCTAAGTCTCTTCCAGTCTCAACATCCTGTACTAAAAATAATAGTACCTAGGCTGGGGAGATAACTCAGCAAGCACGAGGACCTGAGTTTGGTCCATAGAAGCCAAATAAAAAGCCAGGCATGGTGGTGAACACTTATAATCTCAGGTCTGGGCAGGCAGAGACAGGTGAACCTCTGGAGCTTACTGAATAGGTAACCCCCAGGCCAGTGAGAGACCTTGTATCCAAAAACATGATGTATGGCATCCAAGGAGGAATGACATTCAAAGTCAGCTTCTGCCCATTTCCACCCATGTGCACACACATCCATGCAAATCTGCACACACTTGTACTATATACACATGCACAATTCAATAAGTAAACAAGGTAATAATGACAGTACCCATCAGAAACAATTGGGCTAATATATATAACAAGTTGAGTGTGATACTTGTCTCATCGGTATACTTATTTAATACCCATGATAGTTACCCCGAGCACCAACAAGAGACTAGGTCTGGGATGACCAGCTGGAGATGTCAAACATCAAGGACACATTCTCTAGAGAGTTAGGCACCTCCTTCCTAAGGGTCAGAGGCGATGCTTTATGAGAGAACATCACAGTACTGGGCCTGTAGTGATGAAGCTAGATGAAGAGCCAGACATTAGGCACTTAGGTCTAACTGACTTGAGCTTGTGTGGCTTTTCTTATCCACCCATTCACACACCCACCCATCAACTATACATGCACTCCCTCCCTTCCTCACTCACTTACTCCCTCCCTCCCTCCCTCCATCCCTTCCTCCCTCCATCCCTCCCTCCCTCCCTTGTTCAGAGATATTTATCAAGTACATATTAGGAGCCAAGCACTGCTGAGTCTGAGGGGTCCTGTTAAACACGAACATGTGCTACTATCCTAAGTGAGGGACTAGCATTGGGAAGGCCCAGCATAGCCAAATTTATAGATAGACCATAGACAGCAGATGTTGGCTACCGATTGGCTAACTCAAAGTGGCTTTAAACAAACAGCCACTGTCTATTTGCTTATGATTCTTTATTTTGGGCAGAGATGAGTTGAGGCCACCTGTCTTTGTTCCATAAGGCATCATCAAAAAAGATCCACTACCAAGAGTACTGGCTCCCTTAGCTGGCCGGTTGCTGGTAGCTGCTAACTGAGGGTTCGGCAGGAGTGGTTGCCAGGCCCTTCTTATTCTCCATGTGGCTGTCCCACACAGCTAAGGAAGAAGGCTGATATGCATTCCAAGAGAAGTATCAGGGCTTGGGAAGCACAGAAGGATGTCAGCAGGGAAGGGCTGCAAATCTGATGGGGCCATTGTAACCCTCTCTGTCCTGGTCATCCACTGTAAGCTGTCCTGATTCTGCATTCTCAAATTGAGAAGCTGCCCTGGTTGTCTCTGAGCTCTCTTCTAGCTGACTGGCTTTCTGTCTGCAGTTTCTGCACGTGGGTCCCCTCTACTGTCATTTTGCAGCCAGAAAGCTGTGACAAGCGGCAGAAGAAGGCTTCCTGGATGTTTTTCAAGAAGAGGCACAAAACCTATTAGTGCAGGAGTGGTCCATCCCTGCTCCAGGCTGTGCTGTGGGCCTCATTGTCAAGTACATCCTGCCAGCAAACAGAAGAGA